CTGAATGCAGCTCCCTGCAGTGGGTCTATGCTATTGAAGGCGTAGCGAATCAATTTTGTAGTTCCACCAAGTTTGGGCACTATCTCTTTCGAGATTGCATCAACTTAGCCACCTTTGTCCTGCAAGAGGCTACTCATCAACAAGAGTTGCCAGCTCGAATGAATGCCAGGGAGCTGTCACAAGGATGTCTCAGCTCCACTGGGATAGGTACACTGGAGCTTACGCGGGACTTCCAAGTGTTGGGAGCGCATGCCTGTGACAACTGTCAATTGTTGAAGAAAGTCGACCTTTCGAATACAAAGATCGAAGAAATCCAGGAATTTACATTTGTGCACTGCGCTAGCCTTTGTGAAGTCAGACTGCCAAACACGCTCCATACCATAAGAGTAAAAGCCTTCGTGAACTGTGCTGCGCTACCAGAACTAGCCATACCGCCCTCGCTGCACTACATTGCCAGTAGAGCCTTTCTGGACTGCACTTCACTCCGTAGGCTCGTCAAACTCCCAGGCCAGCGTAAATGGAGGGGAATATATGCAGAAGAAAATGCTTTTGCCATTTGCCCAGCCATGAGATGGCCGCCGTGGTTGCACATGATCCCTGACAGTGGTTGCGTGCCCGGCTTAGCGTAAGGCATACTTCTCCTACTGTTCGAGTGTAAGTCAGGCTCCAAAAAGCAGATAGAGTCGTCATTCTTGCCTTCATCGCCTGCAATTTTGTGAGCCTACCAGGATGGGAGCCTTAGCTCTTCGTCCATGGTAGGCGGGTGGTAGCAGAGCGGTTGATGGATGGCGCCCAGGGAGAACCTTAGTTGCTCGTCTGCGGGAGCCGAACCACAGCCAATCTTGTACAAAGATGGCATAAGTACCATGCTAGGATAGGTCTCTGTTTCACCTGTTTCACATGGGCCATGCATGTTGAAAGATGGTGACCTCAATGCTCACCATCCAATGGAAGAGTGAACACCTTCTGTAATCCCTTTGGCTATCGCGTGGGAGCCATTGGGTGTATGTTGTGCCTCCCTTGAGGGAGGGTGAAGAATAGTGACCCCAAAGCGCACTATCAGATGGAAGAATGAACGCCCCCTGTAATCCCTTGGCTAACGCGTGGGAGCCATTGGGTGGTGTGTTGTGCATCCCTTTGGGGAGGGAAATCAGCACTGGATCCAGCAGTTTCTTTGTTGCAATGCCTTTCACTGCCATACTCAAGATTAGCCTCTGCTTTTCGTACGCGCAGACAGTAATATGGGCTGTACTACGGAAAGGGAATTTTCCACGGCTTGCCAAGCTTTGCGACCGATGACTCTGTGGCATTTGTCATCATCTCACTGCTGACACTGCTCATGGCACCTTTCATAATGTCAAGAACTTTCGTGTGCCAAACACCATATGTGGCTTGGATGATCTCATCCTAGCCAAGAGTGAGTGGCCACCTTTGATTGGCCAATCAGAGCAACCGCCCACGATCAGAAGCATTTTGCCTTTCGTAGTGAATTCAGGCCCTTAGGTATTTTGCAGCTCGTCAACTTTTCACCTGTCTCACTTCAGTACAGAGGAAACACTGCCCACATTGGCTAGGGGGCCTTGGTTGTGTTTTGTTTTTGAGTTTTTGGTTTTTCTGTTTTGCTGTTTTTGGTTTGCTTCCCCCACCAACTTGCAGTGTCTCCATACTTTCTTTGATGACCTGGGCACACCGCCCACACGGCGTCCGCACTCATGGAAAAAAAGAAGTCATTAGTCGCTTGATAGTAGCCCTGATAGATGACTTTGGAAATTAGCTTCTCCCAAGTAGCAACATACAAGGACTTGAGATTAGGAACCGCATGCACCCGCTTCGTGTTGTCTTTCTCATCAGCTGGGTACCCCTGCTGGAAGTGTCTGCTGAGCAATTGGTAGTGGGTCACTGTGCAAGTCCTGTTTTTGGACAGGAGGTGCCAGTTTTTCCGCGAGATTGCAACAGCAAGACCAGTTAGCAACCACTTTGAGATTTGCTCATGCTTGTTGCCCACACTGCGTTTTGAGTAGGTCTGCGCCGCCCTTTGTAGGAGACTTCTGGAAGGAGAAGCACCCTTGCCCCGTGGAGGCGAGGTAGGTTTCGTCTTCGGTTTCTTCGTCCTCAGCTTCCTCAGCTTCTTGCTCTGGGGCGGCAGTGGCGTCTGCAGGCATGTCGTTGCACGAGCGAGGGCTCGGTACACTATTCGGAAATTCGGCAGGACAGGTTGGGCCATGAGCAGAGGGGCTGTTGCGTTCTGGTCTTCCTCTGGAGGGGCCACCCCTTCTTCCACTTTATATCATACTGGTTCCTCGATTCTAAAGTTGCTTTTGTAGGAGGAAGCAAAGGAAATCATCTGTCCAAAGCTCCCATCCAGGATGCCGTGCTCGTGGGCATATGCAAGCTGCGGCGTGGGTGGGACGGGGGGGTAATGCTCAGCAGCGCACTGCCCATCGTACGCTCGGACAATGATGTGCGGATTGTTGGCCTCGTTGTCGGTATTGCGCTTGTACCTTTTTCCCTCATCTGGGGTGACATCTTGCACGCCTAGCTCAATGCATCGCTCAGCAAGTTTATGCACCACCTGGACCGGGAAGTGTTGTGCAGTTCATTGATGTCATGTCCAGTTGATTGGATGCAGTCGAATGTAACCAGAGGGTTGTGTCTCAAGAAGTGCTGCGAGAACAGTAAGAAGGGTTGAGTAACTAGAGGGTTGACTCTAGATTCCTTTTGCTTGCCGTTGACTTGAGCTTTGTGCACTTTTGGTCTTGGCAGGACTTTTCACGATACGCGTTTGTCGTTTTGACCCGTCAGGTGTCCACTTGAAAGCAACTGGCTTTCAAGATCCCGATGATGAATAAAGCAAGAGCTAGGAGTCATCACTGTGAGACTCCTAAAGCCTTGCCTTCTGAGGGATCTTGGCCAGTTGTACTTGTTGTTTTGCTTGGTTGAACCTTGGTCGATTGAGTTGAGGGTCTTTTGAGGCTTGCTGACTTGAGTTTGTTGGCGTTTTTGATCGACCTGGAGACCAGTTTGGAGGACAGGAGTTGAGATCTTAGTTGATGCTCGAACCTTAGTTGCTCAGAGAAAACGAAGAGAAGAGAAGAAGAAGACAGGAAGAACCAGAGGAAGGTACGAGGTGACCCAAGAAGGGGTGTGAAAAGTGTGAGTAGCACGCCTGTACAGTGTGTGGATCACCTAGTACCTCTTTGTAGTGGAACTTTTCGTTTTTCGGTCCTTGGGGTTGGAGCTGAGTAGGGATCTTCCTTCTGGGAGTGCGTTCTCTTTGACCTCCTTAGCAGGACTAAGTGGAATGTGACCAAAAGTGGCTAGGAGCACGTCTAGAGAAACCCTGTGTAGGGAGCTGTAGAGCTTGAGTAGAGCTGTGTATAGTTTAGGTTTGCTTGAGAGTGTTTTGAGATGCTTTCTTGTTCTTTGAATATGTTTTGGACGACTGTGACCACTCAGACCTCTTCAGAAGAAGAGAGGATGGACATTGATACAGTCAAACCGACTGTGATGTTTGGCTCAAGAGCGGGATCGTAAAAGGGGACGCTTGCGCTTCCGTGTTTTCACACTTACAAAGTCAATTCTTTTCAAGAAAGACCACGAAAGTTCCCACCAATGGTGTCTCTTCTCACAGTTTCAAAACGTCAGAACCTGCCGATTTTGCGAAGCTGCGCTCTGTGGGATTCGTGCCCCCACAACTACAATCCGTCAGGAGTCTGGTGGACTTTGAACATCAAGCTGTTTCCATGCTGCCTTGTTTCCATCAGCAAGAGATCAGAGTTTTGCGCATCTTTGGCCACGCGAGGCCCAATCTCAAGCATGTCCAGAAATTTTCAACAACCGTGGCAACTTCGAACCCCACAATTGGAGCCAGCGCAGACTGTTTCAGCTGGCGTTGTGGTCCAGAAGGTGGGTCGGAGCCCCATCCAAAAAGCATTCAGTCTGACCAGATCACTGAAGCAGTGAATTGGGCGTTTACTGAGGTGTTTTTTTCTACCCAAAGGAAACATGTTTACAGAAACACAGCACAAAAATGCCTGATCGACAACCGCGATCTTATTCATCGCGACTCAACATTAAAGTCAGTTTTTCTTTGTCAATGAATGTTGAGTCCAAAGAATGAAAGGGTTGAGCGTGGCCCCTCAATGAAAATGGGCTGCACCGCTTGAGTTGGGAAAAACACTGGCCACTCGTTTGCCTCCGCTTCATTGGGTGACATTTTGTTGACACGTGCGTTGCAATGCCACCCATTGTTCGGGTGCGACTCGATCAGGATTTAAAAAGTCGACAAAACCCACAAAAGATACCACTTTGAATCATTGGATCACTTGGAACTGTGGCTTTTGTCTATGTGAGCTCACCGGAGGGTTCAGGACGCATGCCCGCACACCACTCTAGACCCACATTGATCTTACGGCCAAGGGTTGAAAATTTGTTTTTCAACATAGGGTTTCCAAGGAATGCTGTTTAATCTTCATGGCCTCAGACTTGGAGAGGAACGACCCCAGGTTCACACTATGGGTTGCACCCACCGTTTCGATCAGCAGCCTTGTAGAAGGGGTGATGCAAGGTGGAACAAAATTCAAGATTTGTCGGTAGTGGGTTGGGCCACGATCTTGGTTGGCGAGTTGGGGTGGACAATCAATCTTTGTTTGTTTTTGAATGAAACATCACAGACAAGCGCGTCAAGGGTCTTGGAGAGGTTTGCGCATGTCGTCCTTCGCATTGTTGTTGCCGCGTGAGCATTTGTGGTTTGAATTGATATCTTGATCCTTTTGAACCACAAGCTCGGATAGAGACAGAACATACATTCCTTTTGCTACAATTTTTTACCAATTTTGGACACTGCAGTGTTCTTGTTGTTCCTGTAGTTAGTATGCAGCCTTCTCACGGCCATTTCTCAACCCTACTTTGCACACAATGAATTTAAAACACATTGCAATGTCAATTGCACCTGGTAGGCAGTTATCCAATTTTCCAAAGTAGTAATTCTTGTCCATGTTTGGAAAATGAGTCCGTTTTAGAACGGATATCAAATTTCCAATGCGCACCGCTTGTGGCCATGCGACTCAACAGTTTGCTTGGTTTGGGCCTGCTCGGAGCCCGAATGTGGTGAGGGCAAGCGGAAAACATTGTCATTAGTCGGTCTTCTACTAGTAAGGCACCTGTTACTAGTAGCGATGCACTTGTTCCTAATAGCTTCTTGTTACTACTAGTAAGGCACTTGTTACTAGTAGCGATGCACTTGTTCCTGTTTATCTTTAATTTAATCATTTTCTCCATATTTTTGTGTTCCTATCAGTGTGTTTGCAGTCTCCTTTTGACACCCAAAGACATCGATTTTGACAACTTGCTTGCACTGCGACTTTTGCCAGGGCCAAAGCAGACAAGGAACCCAAGAGACAGAAACGGTCCGTCCGGGCCTCACTTCTATTTTTCAACAACTGAATCCACGTGATCGATATTGTGTTGGAGGCCATCGTTAGTAGGAAATCAAAAGAAGTTGTTTGAACAACTATTTGTCGATTTGTTTTTTTCGATTCCTAACTGTGTGAATTTTGATCACATCCGATCTGGATGATCTGGATACTTTTTGGTTTCCCCTTTGAAATCCAAGGACTATTTTTCATCAATTAAAGGAAATTCCATGTTAAGAGTCTTTGACTTCCTGGGATTCTGCAGAGGTCTAGAGGGAGTCAGAATACGAGATGGAACGGCCGAAGGCGGCTTTTCTTACCAAATAAGGAGACATGACACAAGGCCATCGCTACTAGTAACAAGGGCATGACTACTAGTAACAAGAAGCTATTAGGAACAAGTGCATCGCTTCTAGTAACAAGTGCCTCGCTACTAGTAACAAGAAGCTATTAACTTAATTCAAATTTAGATTTGATTCTAATAGCTTCTTGTTACTACTAGTAAGGCACTTGTTACTACTAGCGTGGCACTTGTTACAAACCGGTGTACTGTTTACGCCACCATTCCAATAATGCGGACCATTCAGAGCGTCGAAAACCGCGAAGGATGTGTTGGACTCTCTGGGCCTGGGCACCAAGGCTCCTCAGGACAGGGCTGCGCTAATTGAGCAAAAATATTGTTACTACTAGTAAGGCACCTGTTACTACTAGCGATGCACTTGTTTCTAATAGCTTCTTGTTACTAAATTTTGAAACACTATTTCTTGGATTTCTTTTCTCGCTATTAGGGTGGATGCCACTATTAGGTTGGAGGCCATTGCTACTAGGTTGGAGGCCATGGCTCTTCGGTTGGAAGCTATTGTTTGAAGAGGTGCAAGAGATGCCTCTTTCGTTTCACGCCCGACCCTACACTGTGTAACTCTTGGGTTTGTCTCTACAATAATTGTTGACCTTCAAGCGGCAAATGAACTCTGGCCTAACGGACTCAGGTTAGCTCGACAGAAACTTATTTGCCAGGCAATACCAATAGTGGCACTGCTGCCTGTTGCCTGTCCTCACTCTCGATTCGGTTCCGAGACAGTTGTTCCCTGACACCCTCGATGCGGTGTCGTTTCTCGTTACTAGTAGCGTCCTTGTTACTACCAGTAAGGCCAGGAGCCCCTAGTAGCTTCTTGCTCCTAGTAGTAAGGCACTTGTTACTATAGTAGCTTCTTGTTACTAGGTGTGTCGTTTCTCCAGGCCCCAAAGAAAGATCCAGGCCGATATGTGTCGTGTGAGCGCAGCATTGGTCATGCCAGACATCCCCGTCGAAAGGAACTGAAGAATGGTCTAAAAAGAAGGTCTAGAGTCATCTAGAGTCTGAAAGACATCTGTTACTAGTGAGGCACTTGTTACTACTAGCAAACATTGTTACTACCAGTATGGCACCTGTTACTACCAGCTTCTCTTTTTCTTTGCCCCAAGTCCCGTCCTGACCTTTTGGACCGACCGCAGTTCGAGCACAGGTGCGAAATGCTCCCCCGACGAGGAGATGAGGCCGTGCTTTTGAGTCGGCCATCGCTACGAGGAGATGGGGCCATTCCGAACAAGTGCCACGCTACTAACAAGTGCCTTACTAGTAACAAGAAGCTAGTAGTAACAAGTGCATCGCTACTAGGAGCAAAGGGCATCGCTACTAGGAGCAAGGACGCTACTAGGTTGGATGATACTCAGCACATGTAGAACTGACCCGCCTGGAAACAGTGTGCGCAAGAAGAACACAGAAAGCGACGAACAGATCCAGGTGATTTCTTCCTCCCTACTACTAGCAATAGGTGCATCGCTACTAGCAACAAGTGCGTCACAAGGGCATCGTGAATCATGTGTGCTTGTAACATGTTCTGTTATTTTGTAAGGGCTTATCTTGTGTCGCTACTAGTAACAAGTGCCATGCTAGTAGTAACAAGAAGCTACTAGCGGCTCCTGGCCGTACTACTAGTAGCAAAGGGCATCGCTACTAGTAGCAAGGACGCTTCTAGGGGCGGCATCGCTACGAACGGAGCAAAAGGACGCTCGTGTTTTCCGGAGCGACCGACCGTACGAACTCTCGCCTGTCGGACCGTCGGCTTTTAAGCCGCACATTTGGTGGGGCATTTGACATGTAAGGCACTTGTTCCTAATAGCTTCTTGGTACTACTAGTAAGGCACCTGTTACTACTAGCGTGGCACTTGTTCCTAGTAGCTTCTTGCTCCTAGTAGTAAGGCCAGGAGCCCCTAGTAGCCTCTTGCTCCTAGTAGTAAGGGACTTGTTACTAGTAGCGATGCACTTGTTCCTAGTGGCGAACATTGTTCCTGGTGGGGCTCATGACTCGTTTTGGTGGACAGTTTCGCGCATTGTGATGCCGAAAGGGCAGAGTCCGTTTGGAGCATGGTTTTTGTGGATGATTTTCTTGACTCGAGAGTCCTCTTTTTCAGACTTCTCGTCAGTTTCCAGCGCCATGCAGCTCCGTGTGAAGAGTGTGACTGGAGGGAAGGGAAGCTATCTCAGCATCACCAGCGCTGGGCAGAGGAGCAAGTATATTGCAAAACAAATTTTTATTGTGTTTGCGAAGGATCGTTTCACCGGTGGGTTGGAAAGGGTGTAACGAAAGGATGGTATCATACGGTATCACCCGGTGTTTCAGTCGTTCGTTCGTTTCGCCAGGATCGTCAGGCGCTTGGAGCCTGGAAAAGTATGGAGCTTTCCTTCACGCAGTCCGACAGTGAAGCTGGAGGCTTTCGAATCTTTCAACGGTTGTCACAAAACGCTTTCGACAGAGAGCTCCTTTGTTTTACTCTTCCGGCGGTTTAGGAGGATGAGTTGAAAAGAATTTTGCTCATTGATTGTTTGCGCTCATTCATGTGTGCAAGTTCTTTTTGCAAGAATGGCTTGCCCGATCGGAGTAAAGGGCAGTTTGGAAGGGATGCTGTTTGTCATGCTCATTGCTTCTAGGTTGGAGGCCATCGCTAGTAGGTTGGAGGCCATTACTACTAGTAGGAAATAGCTACTAGTAGCAAGAATTCCACTAGGTTGGAGGCCATCGCGTCTAGGTTGGAGGCCATCGCTTGGAGGCCATCGCCGGTAGGTTGGAGGCCAAGGGCCTTTGATTCCTAAGACTACAAACCGGACCCTGAGTCAGAGCCCATGCGCGCAAGGATAGTCAGCAAACCATTACTACCTCTGCTACAGTCCACAACTACTTTTTCCCGAGAGCGTCTGCGAAGGGTTCTTCGTAAAAAGCATCTGCAGAACTACGTCTCATCTACATCTTCACATCTTCACCTCTGCACATCCACATTCTCACCTATATCTCTGCTCATCTTCACATCTACATTGACAACTGCACATCTACATCTCTGCACATCTTCACATCCTCACATCGACATCTCTGCTCATTTTCACCTTCACACATCTACATCTCTGCTCATGTTCACATCTGCACATCTACATCTCTGCTCATCTCCACATCCTCACATCTACATCTCCCATCTGCACCTCTCGCTCTTCTTAACACCGCCACGAAACGCAACCCTCTGCGGAGATCGTGCGTGTCGAGTGCGCGAAATGCAGGCGAAAGTTCGATTTGTCCCGGTCGCGGGCAGCCCTCTGCGGGGATCGTGCGTGTCGAGTGCGTGAAATGCAGGCGAGAGTGCGATTTGTCCTGGTCGCGGGCAACCCTCTGCGGGATCGTGCGTGTCGAGTGCGCGAAATGCAGGCGAGAGTGCGATTTGTCCCGGTCCGGGACAACCCTCTGTAGTACAACTTTAGTGAGCGGAGCAATCTGTGGAGCTGGAAGCTGAGAACTGGCGACTGGCGACTTTGTAGTACAACTTTAGTACGCGGAGCAATCTGTGGAGCTGGAAGCTGAGAACTGGCGACTTTGTAGTACAACTTGAGTACGCGGAGTATCTGGGGAGCTGGAAGATGAGAACTGGCGACTTTCTAGTACAACTAAGAACGCGGAGCAATCTCTGGAGCTGGAAGCTGGGAACTGGCGACTTTGTAGTACAACTTTAGTACGCGGATGAGTCATCTCTCGCGGGTGAGTCATCTCTCGCTGCGGCTCTGGCGCCCCTGCAGCTGATCTCTTGAGAGGTTGACAAATTTTAGCTACTTTGCTTACTCATACGTGGCTGGCACAAAAGAGTCATCGTGACGTTAGTATGTGTGTACTTCACCTTCATGACGAACGATGTTCGCTTGGAACACACGAGTCGCATGTCATGATCGTGACGTCGTTTACTCTCAGGTCGCCCTGTTCGTGGAAACTTCAGTGTGAAATGTACGTTCTTCAGTTCTATGTGAACCTCTTCAGCGTTGTACTTGCACAACTAAGGTTGACGTTGCACTGCCGTTGCATCGACGCATCTACGTCTACACCCCCTCACCTCTCTACATTTACATCTTCACACGCTCACATCCGCAGATCTACCTCTCCACCTCACCACACCCACACATCTGCACATCTATATCACATCTGTACATCCACACTGTCGCTCCTTCACATCTGTCCTGTCTTTCTTTCTTTCTTTCTTTCTTTCTTTCTTTCTACATATCTTTTCTCTCGTCTCTGTGCATTTACATCTTCGCACGCTCACATCCACAGATCTACCTCTCCACCTCCATGCATCTACAGATCTATATCGCACCTGCACACCACACTGTCACTCCTTCACATCCACCCTCTCTTTCTCTCTTTCTATACATCTTTTCGACAATGCTGGACACTTACATGTCTCGCTCTCGGGCCAACCATCGTCTAGTTCTAAGGTTTTCCTGTTCCCTGCCCTCCTTGCATTTCTGTCTTTGGCCATTTCAATAATTCTTCATGTAGAGGCCACTCCTTCTGGGTCGGAGGCCATTGCTTGTAGGATGGAGGCCATTGCTAGTAGTAACAGGAAACTACTAGTAACAAAGGGCATCGCTACTAGGAGCAAGAAGCTACTAGTAGCTCCTGGCCATACAACTAGGAACAAGAAACTACTAGGAGCATTCTTATTACTAGTCTCTGTCTCATCAACCTCTCCTGGCCTGCGCTGTTTCGTCGATGCGGTGAGTCAACGAAGCTTCGAAGCTTCAGCTGCTACACAGTGGATCCGACCTTCGGTTGCTTCCACTACTCGTTCTACTGGAAACTTCTCTTTCCTTTTAGGAACAAGGACGCTACTAGGAGCAAAGGGCATCGCTACTAGGAGCAAGGACCCTACTAGGGGCTCCTGGCCGTAATACTAGGAGCAAGGACGCCACTAGGAGCAAAGGGCATCGCTACTAGGAGCAAGGACGCTACAGGGGCTCCTGGCCGTACTACTAGGAGCAAGGACGCCACTAGGAGCAAAGGGCATTGCTACTAGGAGCAAGGACGCTACAGGGGCTCCTGGCCGTACTACTAGGAGCAAGGACGCTACTAGGAGCAAAGGGCGTCGCTACTAGGAGCCAGGACGCTACTAGGGGCTCCTGGCCGTACTACTAAGACGCCACTAGGAGCAAAGGGCATCGCTACTAGAAGCAAGGACGCTACTAGGGGCTCCTGGCCGTACTACTAGGAGCAAGGATGCTACTAGGAGCAAAGGGTGTCGCTACTAGGATCAAGGACGCTACTAGGGGCTCCTGGCCGTACTACTAGGAGCAAGGACGCTACTAGGAGCAAAGGGCATCGCTACTAGGAGCAAGGACGCTACTACGGGCTCCTGGCCATACTACTAGGAGCAAGGACGCTACTAGGAGCAAAGGGCATCGCTACTAGGAGCAAGGACGCTACTAGGGGCTCCTGGCCGTACTACTAGGAGCAAGGACGCTACTAGGAGCAAAGGGCGTCGCTTTTTTTCTTTTGTTTCCTCAATCTCTCTCTCTCTCTCTCTCTCTCTCTCTCTTTCTCTCTTGTGAACAAAGTTGACAGGCTATTTATTCCTCACATAACTGGAGACTACTGGAGTTTATGAACCAGGCCTTGTGATGGTAACTTTGCACCTGGAACTCAACCTTGAAACTTGACACATTTCTTTTTCAAACAGTTTCCTTTCTTCATACATATTCATTATTTTTCAATGTTCATTTAAAAATTTATATTCCTTCCTCTTTTACATTTTCCTTCTTCTTCTGGACTCTCTTCCATCTCTTCCTCTCTTTTTTTCTGGACAACAGGGTTCCTACCGCCACGGTCGACCTTGAGCTGGCTCCCTGGAAATAATCAGTGCCTAGTAGCGATGCCCTTTGTTCCTAGTAGCTTCTTGTTACTAGTAGCGATGGCCTCCAACCTAATGGCTTCTTGTTCCTAGACCATTTTCACAGGAAAATTAGAGATATGAGGCAAACTTGTGACTATCTCACTGATTTGCATCAGTCTTCTTTACGTGACTGAGCTGTTAGGCGAAACAGGACTTCGCCTGGCCTGGGGTAAGAATATCGAACCCATCAGCTTGAACAGAGCCAAGAAGGAATTGAGCGAAAAAGACGTGAACATTGACTGTATATGTATCTATTTGCACCTTTTCTTTTTTTTCCCTCTCTGACTAACACACTTGCAGCCCCAGTGTAACTTCGCACACGAGAAACCTCCAAGAAGTGTCTCAAGGCCACAGGAGAAGCGCTAGAGCCGCTAGAGAAAGAATTTCTCGTCTCCGTGGCAGCTTGATGTCACACATCTCGTGTTTCATTGGCAACCTGAAGCTTTGGACTTAAACGGGAAACAACTTAAACGGGACTTCGACATCCTTATATTGGGTTGGAGGCCATCGGGTGGGAGGCCTTTTTGTGGTCGTGGTCGCAGGTTCTCGATGTGGCGGCAACTGCTCATGTGGTGCAACAACCCCAGCAGTCGCAGTTCACCGTGTCGTTGCCCCAGAAGGCCATGGAGCTGCAGGCCGTCCCTCTCACCGTGCCCGACGGAGGTTCGCCTCAGGAAAAGAAGAAGGTGCAGCGATGCCCTTTGCCCCGTTCGTAGCGTCCTTGCTCCTAATAGTAAGGCCAGGAGCCCCGTTCGTAGCGTCCTCTTGTTACTAGTAGCGATGCCAGGAGCCCCTAGTAGCATTTGTGTTCTTAGGGGGGCCTCAAAAACACCTGGCTTTGTACCTGCTTTAGACAAGTGGATACGAACCCTACCAACCTAGCCTGCTTCAACATCCAAGAGTTGGATACGTCTGGCAATAGAATGCAGAGCTTTCGAAGAGACTTGCGTGCACAGTGGTTGGCCGCTTGCTGAAAAGATTCAGGGCCTTTTCTGTTCACATGATTTAACTTAATTTTAACATTGTTTCTAATAGCTTTGTAGTTGCTAGTAGCAAGGCACTTGTTACTACTAGCGTGGCACTTGTTACTACTAGCGATCAGAAGCTATCACTCCAAAGACCGACCCCAAGTCTTGAAGTGTGTCTTAATGGGGCGTAGGTTGGAGGCCATTGCTATTAAAGAAGATGTTTTTCCTTCCTTTTTAGACGCTTCTAGCTGCCCTTGTTACTAGTAGAGTTGCGCCTGTTACTAGTCTTTTCTTTAAAAGAGTATTTTGATGGGTCTAAAGTGAACTCTACAGTAATTCAATTCTATTTCTAATCTAATTCTGATTCAATTCTACTTCTAATCGCTAGTAGTAACAAGTGCCACGCTAGTAGTAACAAGTGCCTTACTACTAGTAACAACAAAGCTATTAGAAACAATGTTAAAATTGATTTAATAGCTTCTTGTTACTACTAGCGTGGCACTTGTTACTACTAGCGTGGCACTTGTTTCTACTAGTAAGGCACTTATTACCAGGCTACCGCCTGCAGCCGCCGACCCCCAAGGGATAGAACCTTAGCGCTAGCCTTGCTCTATGTTAGCCTTAGCCTTAAGCCTTAGCCTTAGCCTTAAGAGTGCAGACCCAACCCAGCACCACCAAAGCAGGTACCCAAAAAGTCGACTTTTTGGGTACCTCCCAGATGTACCATCGGACGTCAGCTCTTGCATGAACCCCGATCATTGCCCAAGAATTTAGACCCAACCCTTCACCACCAAAGCAGGTACCCAAAAAGTCGACTTTTTGGGTACCTCCCAGGTTTACCAATTTAGACCCAACCCAGCACCACCAAAGCAGGTACCCAAAAAGACAAAGCCTAGAGCATTCCTAGCAAAATGCCAGAAAAGCCTTTGAAAATCTCATAAGCCAACAGAAAGCGTGACAAAATCTACGAAAAAGCAAGGGCATTGGCCGGGACCATGCCGCGACCAGCCCGGGATTCGAGCCCAGGACCATTTTGGACCGTGCTTATTTTCCCGCGCGGGTCGAGAGGGTGCCCCAAGATGTAAATCAATTGGGATGGCAGAATCTTGGACAATTCCCGGGTCGCTCAGGGTGGGATTTCGTCACTGCAACAAGGGTCCGGAGGGGTGGGGAGGTAAGGTCTAGGTCTAGGTCTAAGGCTAAGGACTAGGTCTAAGGTCTAAGGCTAAGGCTAAGGCTAAGGCTTAAGGCTAAGGCTAACATCGACAGTCACGCCTCACCCCACGGTGTGGGGTCGGCGGATTTCTACTTTTCCGGCTTTTGGACAGGTTGAAGTTGCCCAAAAGATCGACGGCCATGTGGGCCATGGGTACTCTGCACCTGCACAAAGCGGCGAGGAGACGGACCGAACGGGGTGTACGATGGTCACTGGTCGTCTCAGTTACAACGTGTGTATCTCTTTGTGCCGAGCACGCGCTTAGATTGAACGTGGGTAACTACTCTGGGCCCACAAGAAAAGACATTTGTATTGATGGCAAAGGGGTAGTTAGGACGCTGCTAGGGGCTCCTGGCATCGCTACTAGTAACAAGAGGACGCTACGAACGGGGCTCCTGGCCTTACTACGAACGGAGCGATCGGACGCTACGAACGGGGCAGGTAGACACGACAGTGGCGACCCAACAGGGAGTCTGGCAGTCTGCCGTAAGATCCACGCGATCGTTGGAAGACATGGTGGACACGTGGTGGACACGTGGTGGACACGTTGCCTTTCACAAACGGCGCTTTTCTTCCCTTCGCTTTGAAAGCGTCCTTGTTACTACTAGTAAGGCACCTGTTACTACTAGCGTGGCACTTGTTACTAATAGCTTCTTGTTTCTGCCAGGAGAATGGAAAATATTTGGCCAAACATGAGATTTCTGAGTACTTGACCGCTCTCGTGACTACCATGCTGATTGAGAAGCCCTCAAATCCATTCAGGTGGATGCGAGCACAATTGGATGGATGCTTGGACACAATTGTTACTAATAGCAAACATTGTTACTACTAGTAAGGCACCTGTTACTAGAAGCGATGCACTTGTTCCTAATAGCTTCTTGTTACTACTAGTAAGGCACTTGTTCCTAGTACAAATGGAGATAGGCAGACAGCACCAACGATCTTTGTTTCCACTGCGCAAGGACACTAGTGAAAGATCTAGATGCCGCCGTGAGACACATTTTTAGATGCGATTCGCCAGGAGAGATTACAGCCTCTGATGATGCAAAGATTGCCACCGTGAGACGTGCTCCTAGTTTCAAGGGTGGTGCTTGTGT